GCAAGGGGAAAAGGGGACAGGTCTAAAGCTGGCCGTGTCTCTGGGGCTCTCCCAGTTGTTCCTGGCCAAGTTGTGGTACCAGCCAAGGTCAGTGCCTCCCACAGCCCCTGTCACCTGTGTCCCACACCTCTGCAGGCAGGGCCCTGCTGGAGCAGCCGCACTGGGGCTCGTTCCAGTGTGTGGCAGAGCCTGGCTGCACCCAAAGCTTTTGTTTTCAGACATTTTAATTGTGAGCGGCTCGGTAGAGCTGGGCAGAAATCAGCAGGGAGGAGTGTAAGGAAGACACAACCTGGGGGAAGATGAAGCGAGAGGATAACGTCACACTGCTGCTGGTGCAGAGCTTTGACACAGATCAGGCAGGCCAGGAACAAACGTGTTCCAAGCAAATGACTGCTCTAGATATTTTGTAGCACCTGAATTATGGCTTCAAAGCCTGCAGCATTTTTTTTTTTAATAATGTCCTTAAGAGCTCTAAAATTAAAAGACTTTCCATCGTTTCATCCCTTTAAGGCTGTGGGCAGAAAGTAGGAGTTGAAATAGCTGGATTTCAGTCCAAGTTTTTTCCCTGGAGTTGAGTGATTTCTCTCTCCAGCTTGCTATACCCTCTCTCCCCCCACCCCTTTTTCACACATCAGATAGAATTCAAGTGCCTCTCAATTTAAAGTTTTTGGGTGCTTGTATGAGAACGCTGGGCTAGAGCTGCCTCTGAGCCAGGAGCCAGCCCTGCATGGAGTGCCAGGGCAAGGGGATGCTGCGAGCCCACACCAGGCGTTGGCCTGGATCACTGGGGTAGGAGGTGAGTGTGTGGCTGGGCCTTGCACTCAGAGGCTCTGTCTGGCCTTGGAGGTGCTGATCCCCTGGTGCAGCCCAGCTCTGAGCGGGTGCAGGTGGGTGCTGGCTGGTTTGGGGAGGTGAAAGGTGTGAGATGGGCACCACACTCAGCATCTGGGCACCATGCCCACCCCTGCGACCAGGCTCACCTCCCCACGGCTCTGCTGTGCCCTACAATGGCCAAAGCGGGGAGCAGCATCTGTTTTCAGGGGATTTGTGATGGATGGGAGCTCACACCCAGCTAGATGTCAGCATTTCCATTCCCGTGGGATTTCCGAAGCCTGGCTGTTAAAGCACAGGGGAGTTTGGGTGGTGCTCAGGCTGCAGGTGCCACTTCAGCCTTACAGAGCTGCCAGGGCACCAGAGGGTGGAAAACCTGTGCCACAGGCAGCAGCATGGGAGCTAGTGGGAGAGGCCTCGCTGGGCTCTGGGATGGTGGGATGTGTTTGCCGTGAGAGGTGAGGTGATGGGGTTTTGATGCCTTTGGTGGGATGTCTGTCCCCTGAGGGGCACTGGAGGGGTGGGTGGAGGATCCCCTAGCAGGGAGCCAGCCCGGTGCTGAGACTGCAGCGCTGCCATTGCGGGGACAGAGAGCGAGAGGCAGAGCACCGTGCCGCACCAGTGACCCTCTGGATCGGGCCTCAGCGGCCGGGGCAGCCGCAGGGCACGGCGTCTGTGGGTGACACGGTGCCCGTGGCTCAGCCCCGCTGCCCGTGCGGCGCCGATGGTGGTCCTGCCTTTAGGAGAAATACGATATTTGCAGCGTGAGGTTGCGAAAAGCCTGTGGCCACGAAAAGAAAAGGAAACGACTTTTTTTGTGGTGTTTCTGTGTGCGCGTGTGCATTCGCTGCTGCACTGGGGGCGGCGGACGCGACGTGCTCCGGTCCCCTCGCCCGGCACAGCTCCGCTCCGGCCGTGCCCGCCGTGCCGTGCCCGCCGTGCCCGCGGCCGCAGCGCCCCGGCAGCGCCGAGCCCCCAGCATGTTCCAGAGGAAGCGCAGCGTGTCCTTCGGCGGCTACGGCTGGTGGGTGCCTTCCCCTCCCTCCCTCCCTCGCTCTGCCGGAGCCGCGTGGGCGCTTCCCTCCCTCTGGCGGAGCAGGAGCCGCCGGCGCGGTGCCCTCGGGCACAGCCCTCCCTGGCAGTGCCAGCCCGAGCGTGCGGGTCGGAAGGGACCTTCCTGCCCCGTGCCCCCCGAGCCTGGCACGGCTGCGGCCCTGAGCAGCCCCCGGTGGTGGGGGTGAGGGCAGCGCCGGGGGCTCCGCTGGGCTCGGCCCCTGCAGGAGCGGCTGCCCCCGCGCCTCTGTCGCTGCTTTCCCTGCTGCTGCTCCGCCCGCACGCAGACAGCGATGCTCGCAGCCGCCTTGGGCACCTTGGCGTGTGCAGCAAGCTCCCTCCTGGTCCAGGGCAGGTCCTGGCACCTCCAGGAGTCATCCCTTCCTTGTGTGTCCTCAGCAGGGCTGCTGCCGGCACCCCGAGCTCGGCGGGACTGTTCGCTCCTGTCTCTCCCCTCTGAGAGGCGTTCATCTGTAGGGAAACAGCTTAAAGAGACTACACGGTTCTCCCTCTGCCCTCTCCGAGGTGTTTTGTGCCCGTTCCAAGTGCACTGTGGCCGTGGTGGTGTCTGGGGCACAGGGATGCTCTGCACCCTCCCGGTCCCGCAGGCGCTGGACAGTGGCAGCGCCGGGGCTTTGAGGGCAATGCGGTGCCCGGCACCGGCTGGGGAATGCTCAGTGACTGCGAGGGCACCGGGAGGGCAGCTGGAGCGCCGAGGCTTTGCAGGGTCCCCTGGGATGGAGCAGAGCCTCGCTGAAGCCACGAGAGCTGCCTTGGCCGCATTGCGTGTTCTTTACTTACAAAGGCAAAGGGAGCACTTGGAGATATGTGGGCTCATTTTGGGGTGGGCAAATGGCAGCTCTGTCCCACGATCCTGTTGGGAGCAGCGGCTCTGGGCCCTGCCTGCCCAGGGGCATCCCAGGAGCTCCTGCGGTGCAGCAGAGCCGTGACCGTCCCTGGCAGGGCATCCAGGGCCAGCTGCGCTCTGCTCTGCATTGTCTGATGTGTGCTCTGGCAGCTGCAGGGGAAAGAAAATCACGAGCTGGAGAGTCACTGAGGAAAACGGGCTGTGCCAGCTGGAGGGGGCTGCACTGGCCCTTGGGGGGCTGCACTGGCTCTTGGGGGCTGTGTTTGCAGTTGGGGCTGGGGGAACAGGACAGGGCCTTTCCTTCAGACACCCTGCCAGTATCTGCACGGTGAGGGCGGCGGGGGAGCCCCATCCCCAGGAGCTGGGGGCTGCTGCCAAGGGATCTGAGCTTTCCTGCCCGGGTCCCGGGGAGGGCACTCCTGGAAACCCCTGGCGCTGCCGGAGCGCCTTCCCGGGGCGTGCCCCGGAAAAGAAGGGACCTGCCGGAGCCCCGTACCTGCGCCCGCCTCTTCTCACGGCCCCGGCCGCCCCACCCTTCCTGTGGGGCTGCGTGTGAGGTGCCCGGGCACACCCAGCGCCTCCTGCTGTGGCCGCGCTCGCTAGTTCCATTCTCTGCTGGGCTGGAAATTGCTGTTTTATAAATCTCCAGCAGCTGCATCTGCTGCCGGCGAGTCCCGGAGCAGGGTGCTCGTCCCGGGGCCAGATGCGGTGTTCCCGGCCCGGCTGCAGGGATGCACAAGCTGTGAAAGCCGCTATGGGTGCTGCCCCGGAGCCGCTGCTGCCCAGCGCTGTGGGGTGTGGGCAGTTTCATTTTGCCGCCTTTGGGGCAGGGCAGGGCACACAAACGGCTCTCACAGTCACACTGCCGCTGCGGTTTCCCAAATATGGGAGCTTATTTCCTGTGGGGTTTTTTTTTTTGGTTGTTGTTATTGGTGTTTCTTTTTCTCCCCTTCTCACTCTAAGAGGGCAAATAACAACAACTGTTTTTTCTTGCCGTGGCTCCGGATGGAGCCCCTGGTGCAGCCCTCACTCAGGGACGGGTCCCATGGGTGTCCCTGGGCTGCTTTGCCTCTGCCACTGAGTTTGGAAACAGCTCTGCTCCCCAGCACGCTCTGATGTTCAGCGTGATTTAATGATCAACAAGGTCTGGGCAGGCTTGTAAGGTATTGAGTCACAATAGCAGGTGCCCTAGATCTATTTTAGGAGCAGCAGCATGCTGGCTCTCCAGAGCAGAGCATGGAAGCTGATGCTTGGGGAAATGCCTGGCACAGAGCTCCCGCAGCCATGGGGTTTTGGGAGGGTGAGGCTGCTGCAAGTGAGGGACCCTGGGCCAGGTGATGGCACCTGTGCCCGAGTGCCTGCCAGGCTCAGGCTGTGCCACAGAGTGCCAGGGCCCGGCCCCTGTGCCCCCCGCGGGTGCAGCCCCTCCTGACAGCAGAGCCCGGCCGGGGGGGACAAGGTAGAGCTGCAAGGGGGGGGAAGCTGCATTTCTGTGGCCATGCTGTGTTCTCTGCAATCACAGTGCAAAACAAGAGGGTGTTGGGGGTGTTATTTTGCTGTTTGTTCTTTTTTTGAGATGTGGAATTGATTCCATGTGGCAGATAACAGAGCATTTTCAGTGACTGCCAAAAGACATTATTTTGCATTTTGAGACATTACTATGATTTGCATTAATTAATATTAATATGTCTGTAAGCACAATGATTCCGAGGAGATGAGCACTCATTACCAGAGCCAGGGAAATGAGTGAAGCAACTGGGGCTGCTGGTCCCACATGAGCCAGCGAGGGCTGGGAGCGATGGGGCTGCTCTGTGTTTTGTCTGCCTGGGCTGGGTTGCAGTACGTGGGGTCTGGGGGGATCTTCCCAGCCCCAGGGCTGCCACAGGTCCATCATCTGTGAACACCTGGTTTGTGGCAGCTGTGCCTTGGAGAGAGCTGGGACACAGGCGATGCCCTGCTCTGCTGCCCAGCTCACCTCTGGCATTCCAGACTGGGAGGCAGCACTTCTGCACTGGGAAGGAACTGGGGGGATTTTTTTCTTGCTTGCTGCCAGGCTTCATTTTGGGTTAAATCTTGGTTGATTTTGTTTTCTGATGGACTCTTTCTGTGGCGTTGTTCGTGTCAGCCGGAGCGCTGGCACCTCCAAAGGATGTGCTGAGGTCGTGTTTGGCAGCAGCCCCCAGTCCCCAGCCGCCTCCAGGCACACCCGTGCCTGCAGTAACAGCCTGCTCTCTCTCTCTCTCCCCAGGATCGACAAGACGATGCTGGCCAGCCTGAAGATCAAGTGAGTACCTGGCTGCTCCTCGCCGCGATTTCCCGCGGGCTGGGGCTGGGCTGGCTCGGGTGCGGGGGATGCTCCCCCGGGAGCCGGGCTCCAGCTGGTGCAGTGGAGCCCAGCCACGCCCGCCCACTGCAGGACACGCGTTCGTGCCTGTCCCACAGTCTGTTCTCCTGGCGGCCCGGAGTGAATCAGGCACCGGGGGATTGCAGCAGACACGGTGACACGAGCGCTGTGAGATCAGCGGGCTGAGGGGCGCACGAGGCAACCCACAGGGCACCAGCTCTGCCTCGAGGGTGGGAATCAGCTGCTCAGGCCGACACTGAGCTTCTGGGTGGAAATCCAGTGAAGTGTGGAGGTTTTGTATTTTGTTTTTCAATCTGGAGAGGTGGTGTCAGTGGAACAGTGAGTGCTGGTGACCCAGCTCCTCTCCTGTGCTGCTGAGGGGCTCTGGGCACTGCTCTGGAGGGGGTGGAGATGCTACTGGGGTCCAGGAGGGTCTGTGGACTGGCAGTGTTGCTTGGTGGGTCCATCGTGGATTTGCCACTTGCTGGACACTGGTGGGTGGTGTGGGCTGTGCAACTCTGGCAAGGTGGTACTGGGCCAGGTGCTGTGCTGTGATGGAGTGAGCCGTGTGAGGTCACCATCCCTGCTGGGGAACGCCCTCAGCTGATGGGGAAGAGAAGGTGGAGAAGGTCTGGGAGTGGTGGCACCGATGCTCTGTGCTCCCCCAGCACTCGTGGCTGTCTGGGACCTGCCTCCTGTTCCCACCAGCTTTGCTCTCCTGGCTGCACATCCTGGGTACTGATCCCTTCCCTCCCAGTGTAGTGCATCCTCCCCTCTCCTGGATTCTGGATTCCTGGAACCCCAGGCTGGTGTTCTCCCTTGTGAGCACACGTGCAGCTCCAGTGCTTCAGCTGCACCCTGTGCTGATGCAGAAATGCTCTGGCCAAGCTTCCCCTGGGCTCCAGGCAGCGCACAGGGTGATGGCTCATGCGGTTTCCCTCTATAATCATTGTGCAAATTATTCATTAATGGAAAAGTATCCGGAAAGCCTGGGGGAGCTGCTGCCTGAGCGAGCCCAGTGCCCGTTGTAAATGGCACAGCAGAATCGCTGGCGCTACGCTCATTGCTCAGGTTGTGCTGAACTAATGAGAAGTTTAAATCAATGCTTTCCACTTTGGGGAGGGCAGGGAATTCTCTGCAGACTTTCCTTTTTCCGTGAAGCTGAGAAGGATTGAGCTGCTCTTTGCACTCTGCTGTGCACCGTGCCCTGATTCTCTCAGGGCTGCTGCAGCAGAGCCCCCTGTACCCTCCTGTCTCCGCCGTGCCAGGCAGGCTGGAATGCTGTGCCAGTGCTGTGGGCACGCTGCCATGCTCCTGCCTGGGCAGGGCGAGGGTTGGCGCCGCGTTTCTCTCTCTGTCAATGCCTTTCCTGCCCTGGCCAGAGGAGGGAGTTTCCTTGGAGCTTTTGATGAACATCCACTGCTGCTTGCAGAGAATGCTTCCCACAGCCCCTAGGTGTTTCTGGTCTGTGGGTAGGCTGCTTCATTAAGTGGTTCCGTAATTGGGGCTCAGCCAGAGCCACGTTTCATATCTGTAAAAGCTTTTAAAATTATAAAAATATTATAAACCCAAACTTTTGGGGGTTTAGCGCCCTCTTGTTATTGCTGCAGCCTCTGTCGGAGTGTCCTGGTTTAACCCGTGGCACAGAGGCACCAAGCATCGGAAGTTTTCTTCCCCTGTATAAGTTATTACCGAAAATCGGAGCTGCTTTCCGCCTGCCCTGGAGCAGCTCAGGGAGCCTCGTGCTGTGCAGAGGCAGCGAGCCCGGCGCGGGGCACCCGGCCGGGGCGGGAGGATGAGGGATGCGGGGCGAGCCCTGCCTGTGCCCGCACACAGCCGGGATGAACTCACCCACGCAGGTGGCGCTGGGGCACCCCAGCGGCTCTCCCTCCGCCTACCTCTCCGTTCGCTGCCTCCGTTCGGGTTGCGTTGGTTCCTATGGTAACCGGGGATGTATCTGAGGGACCCGAGAGCGGGAGCAGCGTCGGGAGAGGCGGTGGGGAGCCCTGGCAGCGCCAGCTGACCCCGCTGGTGACAGCAAAGGTGCCAGGGAGGGCAGGGAAGGCGTTGTACAGGCTCGGGCATTCCGCACAGCTGGGCTCTGTGAGCGCCTGGGCAGCTCTGATCTGGGGGAGGCTTGGGGATACCCTGCTGACTGTTTTGGGGGTGCACGTCCCCAGGGGTGGCAGCAGGCACTGGTGCTGCTGTGCTCGGCTGCTGGGGCTGTTGAGAGCTGCTGGGATTGGGGCTGTGGCACGCAGACTGAGACACTTGGGCAGTAAATGGGATTTGGCATTTGCAGACCCTGGGTTTGGTTTGGACCAATTCCGTTGTGATCCCTACTTTTCTGTTACATTTTGTTATTCCTTACCCACTTCAGGGGAAAGCGCTTGGAGTTGCTGAATCCCTTGGGCTGGCAAAAGGGGAATCGTGTCCAGAAGCTGCTCCCCAGCCTTGGCTTGGTGTTGGTGTTTTCTTGTGTCACATGAAGTCTCTGTAGGGAGCTGGAAGTGTCTCCAGGCTCCTGGGGGCACAGCTCCATGCAGTCCTGGTCACACATGGGGTGTTTGAGGTCAGGTTGTGCTGCCAGGAAGGGAAGACCTGAGCCAGATGGCAGCTAAGCTGCTTCCCTGGTGGGAAGGTCACCCTAGAGGAAAACATCAGCCTGCAAAGGATCCTTGCATGTCAAAGAGCAGTTCTGGCCAGGTGAGCCAGCCCGGTGGGTTTGCTTGCTTCTCACAGCAGCCCAGCAAGTGCAGGAGTCCCCAAGAAAGCAGGCAGAGACCCTCGAGCCCCCTTGGCCCTGTAAATCCTTGGATTTGGGATGCTGGAGGTGGAAAAGTGGGATGGGGACTCGTGGGACCCTTCCGCCTCCTGTGTGGAACAGTGGCAGGGTGATGTCCCGTGGGGGCTCACCAGCCCTTCCCCTGCTGACAGCTCCTCAGCTTTGTGCTCTGGTTATTTGCTCATTGCTACTGATGGGGTGCACTGAGAAACCACAGAGCATTAAACAAAAAGATCAGTAAAAAAGCCCCCCCTTCAGGCAGAGTCACCTCTTCTTTCAGCCTTATAAAGCAAAAATAGCACCAAAATAATCATGTCTCTGTGGAACGGAGGAGCCATGCACAGCAATTACTGGGAGCCAGTGTGTGTGCAGTCAGAACTCACATGAAAGAGCATGTGATGCTCCTCTGCTGATGGCAGCAGGAGGATGAAGGTGGGAAGAGATGAAAGATTTACTCGACCTTCGTAAAAAGAGCTGTGTCCAGGCTTGAGGTTCTTTAATATTTGATGGGCTGGAGCTGAGTTAATGGGAAGATGTGGGAATGATTTAGCTTCTTGGAGCTGGCTGCACTGACTATTGCACTGATCTTGGAGGTTTGAGCTTGGGTCCTGTGAGGACAAGGTCTGGCGAGCAGATTGCATCTAAGTAAATTCCTTTGACTTATTAGCACTTCATAAATGGATAATTGCATGTAAATGTATGTTTTGCAATTATATTTAGCTGGAGAAGCACATGCAAAGGAAATGCTGTCAGAACTACTGCAAGCAGCCAGCTGCAGCACACAGGGAGGTTTCCCATCTCTGTGTCTGTGGAACTGCTCCTCTCCATTGCTGATGGGCGTGGAGCCAGCCCAGTGCCAACCCCAGCAATGAGCCCCCACAGCAGGCCCTGCATGGCTCTCCCAGTTCTGGAGCCTGGCAGTGCCCCCCTCCTGCCAGTGTCTGGAGAGGGACTGAGTGTGCAGGGCCAGGGTGCAAGGAAGGCTCTGTACTTGCACAAAACTTTAAACTCAGTTAAAGCCAGTGCTGAGTTGGAGGGCAGAATGAGGCTGAGCTGTCTGTCCCCATGGGTCAGTGCTAGATGGGTGTTAGCTGTGCACCCAGCAGAGTGCAGGAGAGCCATGGCTGGGCATGGCATACCAGGCAAAATGAGTCCTTGTGTTGGCAGCAGGTCTGTGGCTGGGTTCCTGCTGGGATGAAGCAATGCCAGGGAACTGCAGGTGTGTGCCCAGGGATGGTGACAGGCCTCTGCTGCTGCCGCGGCTGGGGGCTGCTACCAGCCCTGCTCACCATCAACTGCTTGAGCTGCCTGCCAGGATGGTGGCAGGGCCACGGTCTGTCCTTCCTCGTCAGCCCGAGAACTGGTGGGAGATTTACAAAATCCAGCCAGTCCCAACGTCTCCCTGCTATCTGTGGCAGGCAGGCGGGAGCGCTTCCCTCTTCGTGGAAGGGCAGTTATCGCCCTGGCTGCCTGCCCACACCCAGCCCTGCGCCCACACAGCATCCTCCCAGCACGTCTCACAGCCTGCCTGGGACAGAGGAAGCTTTCATAGGAGGAGGAAGGTGCTGTCAGCTCTGAGGACTTGCAGTGTTTCAGCCATTTAATCTGGTAAGCCTTAGCTATATAAAATTCCAGGCCGGGGAAATGGGTACTGGCACAGCTCCACTGATGCTCTCCCTGGGTACTTGACTCTATGCGTTCCTCCTAGTGGCCTGGTGTAGACATTGGGTTTATGTGAGGGTTTGTTCCTGCAGAAAGCCCAGGCAGGGAGCAGGGAGGTGGGCTGGGATGTGGCGGTGACGTTGGAGGTGGCGCAGCGGTGAGTGCCACCCCGTCCATATGCTGAAATGTTGTTGTTGCTGTCAGACAGCCTTCCCATATTTAAAGCTAGATTATCCACAATTACATCTGCCCAGAGGACTGAGCAGCCCCACATGGGTCTATTTTTAGCTCTGTCTCAGAACTAATAAACTGTGCTGGTTTCTCCTCCTGCCATATTTATAGCCTGTCAGGCTGGGAGCTGTTTGCAGCCGGAGGGCGGTTGCTGGGCGAGCAGCCACCTTCAGAGAGCAAATATTGTCCTGATGGGTGGAGGGAGCCATGATGGCTGTGGTGATTGAGCCCCATCTGCCCTGGGTTTGGTCTCTGTCTGCAG